TTCATTTTTTTGGCAGCCCCCCCCCCCCCCCTGGTTTTGCAAGCTGTGGCGTAGGAAGGATTTTTTTCTCTTATTTTTATTTTTTTATTTTTACTTTATGACAATTGCTATGATGCTGTAACTGGGGACAAAATATATATTTTCTAATTGGAAGCAGGTAATTATCATCTCAAAATCTTAACTATGACCCCAAACAGGCTTCATGGAGGCAGAGCAGGACGAAACAGCAGAGACAAAAGAGGAACCGTCTTAATCATAACGGGAGAAAAACAGATCCCTGACTTCAACATCTCTCTGCCAGGCTTTCTGGCTATTCAGTCAGAAAGAGATTTAAGGAGAAATGATAAAAACAAAAGAAGTGAATCTGCAGTGCTGCCCAACACCTGATGGATCCAGGAGACATTTCTGTGATATTTCTTCTCTGCTGACCAGAAATGAAGCTGCTAGGATGAAATGACCATCATCAGACTATGATACATCAACAGTCTTCAGTCAGAGGCCTCTTCAGATATGTTGCATGACTGACTGCTACCAGATATCCTTCCTGCCCACAGCATCGTTATCCATGATGACTATTTGAAGATTAGATTATAGGAGTTTCATCAACATTGAATTTCCCTTAAATTTACCTTAAGACACTGATTATTCTTCAACTAATGCAATATTTGTTGTGAAACTACAAAAACAAAAGTACATCATTGATAAACATTTACTATTAACAGTTAATTTAAAATCTAGGCAATACTTTTGACATTTCCTATTTAATGTCAGGTGTTTAAGGAGATCCAATGGGACGGGTTCTTGCAATATTAAAAGTGAAATATAGGGGGTGCTGTGGTGGCGCAGGGGCATAGCACAACCCACGTATCAAGGCCTTGGTCCTCATGACGGTGGTCACAGGCTCGATTCCCATCCTGTCTACATTTGCCGCATGTCTTCCCTCTCTGATTGCCCTCTTTCCTGTCAACCACTAGAGCCAACAAAAAAAAAGCTAAATATGTTTTGCAAAGCATGAATTAGAGGTTTATGTAGCTTAAGCTATTGTTATGAACCCCATATGTATATTAAGACTCTTATTTTGCATTAGGAAATTAAGTCATTTTGTAGTTGTCATCCGGACAGAGTCAGATAAACAACATCGCCTGTCAGACTGACTGAGGACGCTCAGTTACATAAACCCTGAAGAAGCCTCCGCTATCTTGAAGTCATTTAACTGGCAGCATTTTGTGAGGGGGAAAAGCAGTGACAGGTTGGCAGACAAAACTATGTATGATGTATAGACACTGTGATAGTACTGCAAGTGGCTGGCTGTTATCGATCATATATTGTTCCCCCTGAGCTTCCAGTGGATACTAAATTTGAAAATTATTTGTCACAGTTTTAAGGCAGCTGGAGCACAACGACTAAAATCAGGACAAGATGGATCATTCCAGAATGAACAGAGATGCTTTAAAGCACAGTTTGAGAATTATGAAGCATTATTTGAGTTTGTGAAAACACAAAAAGGAAGCAGTAAAATAATTCAATATAAACATGAGTCAAACTTTAATTGAAGTACATTGCGCTGATTAGAGATTGCTTAAGACACAGTTTGTAATTTGTGAAACCTTTCATTTATTTGTGAGGATAAAGAGGTGACAACCTTTTGAAAATTGAATTAATTTTTGTTTGCAGTAAGAAATCCCAAACTCTTTTCGTGTCTCTCTCAAAGCTGTTCCTCATCTGTTTTTTAACTCACCTGTGTAGCTTTCAAACTCGCAGTCTGATCTCGTGTTCTTCCTTTCATAAGCAGAAGAACGTTTTCAGAAAAAAAGAAAGCTCTCAGATTTGTATAATCTAATTGTATGTTAAGAATCCATGATAACTGTTCTGTTATTCAGACTCTGTGACCTGACAGACTGTCTGAAATAAAATATATTATCACTACAGCCAAGACTGTGAAGTATTAATTACCATCAGTATAGTATTGCTATGTCAATGGCCAAATGATCCTTATAACAACCTCTTGTGTTCGTAAGAGATGAACTAAATTCGTTGTTGGAAAATTATTCTTTGAAGTTGCAAAGATGAAACTATTTTGCACCATCATTTATGCGGTGGGAGGAAATGTTAGTATCTGAAGGCAAAAGTCATTAGAACACCATTACAGAAAACATTGTTTCTGACAACTTTATGTTCCTCCCAAAGTGTTTTCTGGTAATGCAGAATAGTTAAACATGAATGCAATTTACTGGAAGTTATTCTGCTAATTATGTTCATTAGGAAAACAAACAGAGAAAACATTTCCATAAAGATGATGTTCATTAGATTTTGCTCTCTTTGCTCTCATTATTTACTTAAGGACCAAACATTTCTGGTGGTATATCACTTTAAAGAAATTTGGTTAAAGGCCTCAGTTCTTGTTTTTTTTTGTTTTCTTCACTTCAATTATTGTGTCTCCTGCTTTTTTACCCAAATATCAGCTTTCCCTGAAGGTACTTGACCCACTTGACTCTTCTTCCTTTCTTTTATGTTGTGTGGCTTTTGTTTCTTATTTTCTATGAGACCTCCACTGACACTCTCTGCTATCCCTGTTTTTCTCTACCTTATGTTTGAGATTCTTTATCTATTTCATTTTTCAACTTTGGTTGCACATGCACCACAAGTTAAAAAAAAGAGAATCCTTTTCCATTTTCGCTCTCCTGTACCTTCTTTCTTCTTTCAGTACCTGGAAGTTACCAAAGATAAACAATCATATCTGCTATGCTTTGTGTCTTCCTGTAGAAAGCTGACCTGGCGGTCGCCGGCTTCACCATAACCTCAGAGAGGGAGAAGGTAATTGATTTCTCCAAGCCATTCATGACTCTGGGAATCAGCATCCTCTACCAAGTGCATCTGGTGAGCTTGCCTTTGTATTTTCAGTTTTGATTAAAGCTGCATTAGGTAACTTTTATAAATAAAATTATTTTTACATGTTTAAAACTATCACCATGTTGTGACAGTTTAGTATGAGGCAAATAATCTGAAAGAATCTCAGATTGTTTCACGAGAGGAAGGGCTAAGACCTTCCTCCTGGCTCTGGTTGGTTGTTTCTGACTCGGTGTTGTGTGTTTCTGCAAAAAAGGACCTCAAGGAAGCAGAGGAGGATGATTGTTCTTTCAGATTATCTGTCTGATGTTATACTGTCACACCAATGTTTTAAAACATATGTAAAGACAACATGTCACTTATGTTGTTAGGCACTTAGCTTTAATGTTTACTTTATACCTCAGTCTGAAAGAAAGCACTCCTGGGAGTTCACAGTGGAACGGAGCAACACATAGTGTAAATCATGGTGGTTAGGAATCGCTTCACTCCACTGGTGAAGTGTGCAGTGGAGCAGAGACGCATTCAGTGTAAATCCAAGGTCACACACTTTCTCAGTTTCTCTTTTGTTGTCGCTCTCAATGTCACGATCATCTCAAGGCAAATTCACTCTTGAGATTGTTCTTTCCTTTTCAAGCTTTGGAAACCCCTTGGTAAAAACCCATATATTAGCCACATCGCTTTGTTCAAAATGTGTGAAAAAAGTAGCGGCTTATTGTTCGGAAATATGTCACATTGTAACGTTTTAGTGGAATATTTTGTTAGATAAAGCAATACCTGTTGAACAAGGTCATTTTTACATTTACAGTACATTTACTATTGCGCCTTGAACCTTTTCATGATTTGTCATAAAAAAAGATTCATAATTTAAATAGGAGATAACAGGATTTGTTTTCCCTTTAAATCTGGCCTTTGTTTGAAGCAAGGAATAAGAAGTTTTTTTTTTTTTTTTTTTTTTTTTTCCAACTAACTGGTTAAGGAACCCAACCAACATGTGAAAGAAGGTGTGAAGCTGAAATACTGAACAGAACATGCCAACCATGAAAAATTGTGCCGTTCATGTGCTTTTCTTCAGGGAAAGGGAAACTGGCCAGAGTTGATGAGAGGAGCAAAGAACTGATTGTAATTAGAGACAATCTTGGAAAAAAATAAAAATAAAAAATACCTGTTTGGGTCTGCGAAACAGTTAGCAATGGGCCACTTGTTGATCCTTCCAACATGACAAACAATCCTGAACATACAGCCTGATCTGAGTCTTTCATTGAAGTCTGGAAATCAGAGGATTGTCTTTCATCAGTTTCCAAATCAAATTATTAAATAAATAAAGAAAAAATATGGTGGAAAGATTTTAGAGCTTCCATTCTTTATTCACTTATAAAAATAAAAATAAAATAACAACATCAAAAATAAATGCATAAGCATTTTTCTTGCATTTACAAAGTTTGCATATTGAAATATTGAAGTTATTTAAGTTTTGTCCTTAATATCAATTTTAAAGTGAAATTTAAAAAGTCCACTTTTTTTCATCGTGCCAGCAGAGTTGGGGCTAAAGTTCTACAGACTGGAGCGTGGAGTGTCTGCACCTGATATCATTTTATGTCTGCGACCTCACTGTGTGTTTGATTTGAGGAATTCAGAGGTAAAAAATTAAAAAAAAAAAAAGAGCTGCAGTTGCATCAGGAGCTTCCTTCTCAGCACGAGCTGTTCTGCTGGAGGCGCTGACAGTCGCTCGACCGCTCGGGTCACACAGTCAAACTGAGTTTCCAACAAAGCAAAAGAAAGTATTACTACAAACACTGACGAAGCAGAGGCGGGGATGCTTTTGGGGGGCAGATCAGATAAAAGCAGAGCTGAAAACACAGATATAGGGCATGTTTTTTTTTTTTTGTTTTTTTTTATGCAGCGATGGTATAGAGGCAGGAGCTGCTGCTTTAGATTGTGAGTTTTCAGCCTCTGATGGGGGATGGTTGACTTGGGCTTCCTGACTGGAATCTAAAATTTGGGTTTTCTGCTTCCTGAGTCTGACAGACCTGCAGATTCAAGACATGGGATTTGTGACAGTTCTGAAGTTTTCAAATGCTGCATGCTTTTTATGTACAAAAAAAGACCTTTTGAAATTTCTTCTGGGATTTTCCTCTTTATTCTGTTTTTCAGTCATCACTGATGTTTACTGAAGACGGATATAAAACGATTGCAGCGAATGCTGGATCTTTTATCTTTATTCATATTGTTGATTTGCTCCAGTGTTATAAAGAGCATAATAAACTTATGTTTTACACTATGAAAACTGCCCCCTAATGGAAGAAGCAACACTATTATGTTTCCATTGAATGTTTGGAAATTGTCAGATTTATTCCATATTCATGGTAATGTGCTTTTTACCTTCACCTCTTGTTAGATGTTATTTTTTTCCACTAATTTCTAAAAAAAGAGCTAAAACACTTAACATTTATGGCATAAATTGACGGCAGTTCCATTAAAAGACTGTTTTTTTTAAGTGATAGCACCAGAAACATTTGGTGCTTGAGTAAATAATCAGAGAAAAGAGAGCAAAATCTCACTAAAATGATCTTTACAGAAATGCGTTCTTTGTTTGCTTTCTTAATGAATATAATCAGCAGAGGAACATTCATTAAATTGAATTAATGTTTTACTATTCTGCATTAAAAGAAAACACTTTGGGAGGAACACAAAGTTGTCAACAAACGTTTTTCTGTAATAAAAATCTATTATTGTCAAAACTAAAACGAAATTTAAGGTTATAATGTTTCAAAACTTCATCCGGCAAACAAGCAGCAATAACAGACGATGTGTATTTTGTATTTTTATATATTAATTTAGTAAGTATATTAAAAATGAAAATGGCAAAAAATATCTTCCAATTTATATCCCTTATTAATTATTATCAGCTAATTGATTTTTTTATAAAAACAATAAAATTACACATTTGTTAAGATACTGTCAAACTGTGGTATTTTAATTCAAGTTGGGGATTCTGTCAGAAATTCATGCCAGTCCGTGCATTTTGCATATCTTCCTGTTTATGAGCTGGAATAATGCGGCTCAGTGTGTGTTTGCCTAAACAATGCAGCAGTTTCTCATTTACAGGTGAAGCAAAATGCAGCATCAGCTCTCCAACAACTCCACCGAGGGAATACATCACACCAGTCCTGCTTAAATTATGCCTGCTCCCCCTTTGATTAAACATTTTATTGATTACTTTTAAATCACTACAAGCTCATCCCCCCTCCTCTTTATTTTGCCTCCACTTCCTTCCAGCTCTAAGCCTCTTATTGTGCCCTAGTACCCTTAAATCAGAGAATCAATTGTTGTTTAAAATGCCATGGCTCACACTTAAACAAAGGGAGACCATGATTTTAGTGTTTTAGATCCAGAACATTGAAGACAAAGACTGCAGTTACTATAGCTGCTACATTAAAAGGAGCTTTTTTTTTTTAAATTAGGTTATTAAAATCTGATTTATTTGGAATTAACAATATGGTTGGTTCTCTTCTGTATTTTGCTAATTTAAAACTGGTAGAAAATGGGCCGCTGCGACCTTTAAAGGAGAAGCTATAGACAATGAATGGCTGCATGGATTTAAACTCTGTGAAGAAACACACAAACTTCTAACATTTACTGAGGTCACAGTGCCCCAAGGAACACTCAAATCATTAGTGATGGGTTTTGTGTTCTTCGTCTGATTCTAGCCACAGTCGAGTTTTACAGAAAGCTTTTGAACTTCATAAGTGCTATAAATTGTTACATTTTCAAGCACATGCCTTTTTAAGCCAAAGTGAATTCAATCAGCTCAGATTTTCTACACTCCACATTCTGGGGAAAAAAAAAAAATCTGTAGTATATTTTAAAATAAAAGTAAGTTTTTCTTTTTCTGTCTTTTTTCCTTTTTTATTTTTTATTTTTGCAAGAAACAACAAAAAGCAAAAATAAATAAAAGCCACTTGGCTCAATTTAGGCCTAAAGCAAGCAAAAAACAGGTGCAAAAATGAAAAAGGTTCTTTTTGAAGCGTCTCTACCGAAGAGGCTGATGCAATACAAAACAATAAAGCTGCAAGCTGCTTTGTAGATGGGCTCCTGTCTTCTTATTTCTGAGAGCTTTTAACATAAAAGGTTGAAAGGGGGATTTTCTGAGAAGACCGTAATCAAAAGTCATGTAAGATTCCTCTAATCACTCCCTGGTCAAGACGCCGAGTTCCTTGAAAAGAAGGATTGGGCTAAAAAGCAGATGCAGAAAAAGGATTTATGCCTAATCACATTAAAAGTGTCCTGGATGCAGAGTTTATACAACTATCCTGCAATACCTTATTTATATCTGTAACATGTTAACTTTGTTCCTCATCTTCATTTGATTATTTATCACATAAACTTAATTATTTCCTTAATTAAAGACAACCGTATGGTTGAGTCTAGAACAATGAAAGATTTACATTTACTATTTTTGTTTAAACAGCTTTCTACATATGTGCATACTGGTTAGCAACTTAAAGCTGGTTTACAAAGACACATGTATGTTTTCTTTATTTGCCTTCAGAGTTGAGTTGTGATGTCATGATTATTGTTCTAAATACCACTTCGTCATTCCTGATTTATCAGTCCCAATCTGATCACTAAACATCATAAAATAAATCCATGTATAAGTTTTAAAACTCAATAACGCTTCAGAATTACACCTCAGTCTTTATTCAGTTTCTTCTGTTGGGTTTTCTTAATGCACTATTTTCTTTTTTGCTATCACAACCAGAGTTTCCACAAGTCAGCTGTTTGTGAAGCAACAAAAAAGTCTTGACTCACTTAAGAATGTTCTAACAGCCCTTAGGCAACGGGTCATTAATTTCATCGTAATTGTGTCTCGTCAAACATAAAGCCTCTGTCTCCATCCAAACTTTTTTCACATGTTGCGTTATGCTGAAGACGGTTAAAGAGATCAATACTTTCAAATATTTAGGTTCGCCGTAGACAAATAATTAAACTCTAGTCTTCACATCACATCAACATGCACAACAATATAGACT